ATTTTTTTGTTTACAACAACTTATTTTATTAACTAATTATCAATTTAACTGTCACTTGTTTTATAAAAACTTAAACAAATTTATGGATAAAGAATAGGAAACTGTGGTAAGGAAATAAATAAAAACTTCTCGGTATCAAAGCCAGGTTGGTCTAGATGTCTAGAATATGGATTTTAAAAAACTAATGACACCTTGCCTTTAATTATTTGTTGGTGTGTGGTTAATACCCATAGATATATAAATTTTACAATAGTTAAAATAGGCTATTATATAGATGTTCATATTAACGTTCATTGCCCTCTCGGCTACGACATTGCGATTTAGTAAAAGCGTTCGTAAATTTCTCTAGGGAGAATTCTAAATTGCTTGGGACATAGTTTTAACTAAAGAAAATGCCAGCAGAATCGTTCGTCAATTCTTTGTAGTAGTAAAGATTTAAAACTTTAAATCACTGTGTAACTATTAAGGGAAATGTCAAGTAAGTTTTATCACTTGTCATGATATTGCATAGGTAAACGAATTAGTGAATTGTGATTATTGGAAAAGCTTATTCACTTTTATTTACGACCGTCTGTTGGCGGTGACTTCGTCTCCGTGGGATTCGATTATAGCGCAGCTCCCTATATTACACCTTTAAGGGTGATATTTTGAAGACTCATTTTGTAGTGGACGATCCCTTTACATAGGGAATGATGATACAAAATTTCAAGTTTCTTGAGTCAGCGGATTGAATTTAAATTTTGAGAACTACTATCTTAGTGTTCGTTTACGTTGTTAAAGGAAGGATCTGTCTTTCTAGTAACACTTAAATATTTTTGAGTAATGTAAAGGTCCATTTCAGTTACGTGCTTAGTACCTTTAGAGTAGGGTTTCGTTCAAATTATAGAAAAACTCTATAGTATTTGGCAAGAATACATCAAATTTTTCTCCAAAAACAGTAATACTCCACTCCTTTTTGTTTTATCAAACATCGTTGCTTTCGCAAAAATACAATCACCCGCCTTCTAAGGCCTAGCGCGCACTGCGACTATTTAGTGGTCGCGATTAGTCAGTTGAATCACAGGAATAATGTGTATTGTGGAATTGTTATGGAAGCAGAAGAAACAATATTAGTTCCATCCTATCATAAGTCAGAGATTAGTAATAGGGGAGACCGGGGATAGTTGACTATAGGGGTAGGTAGACTAACTACCGAAAACTCTTCGACAGTGTATGAACTATGTCATCTGATCATAACCAAGCATTGCATTTCGCGTCCCGCTCAGTTGTCTGAAGCGTCACATCGCGGTCATGCGTTGTTTTCGATCACTGACATGTTTTTCATATTTCAAATGCATAAGTAATATTTTGATATATTGTATTTTTCGATCTGATGCCTACTCGTTTTATGTAAATCATTTTTCTATTAGTCCTAGCATTTAATGAGGGCACATTTATCATATTTCATATCTTATTTTTCAAGTCAACGGCAGTGTTTAGGCTAGTCATGCGATCAAAATTAAAAATGGCGTCCGGGGTTGGTAGACCAATTTTTTTCGGGGCTGGTTGAACAATTATTCAACTAACCCCAATGAAATATGTAGTTGAAAACAACACATAAATTAACTTTTTATTGGACTTTTAAATGGTTACGTGGCCAAATTAAAAAAAAATTAAACAGAATCCGAAATTGACGAGAGCAGAATTAACCCTGGACACAGTGGAATATATAAAAAATTGACAAATTTTTACTAATCTAGAAGAGGAAACTTTAGCCAGTTTATTTTTTAACAAAAGGTTCAATTATATTAAAAAAATGTTTAATTATTTGCTCCTTCTCATGATTTGACTCTTACTGGTACATGAGTCTACTTACCCCGGGCATATGGTCTATCTACCCCGGGCCAGGGGTAGATTGACTAAGATTTAATATTTTGTAAAATGCATTAAATAATCACTATTATACTAAACTAAGAACTAAATATTACATATTTTTATTAGGTTAATAGATTTTCTATCAATTAACATGCTTTTCTTGTCTATATACATTAAAACACAAAAATATGAACTATTCAGTAGAACACTAGTCAACCATCCCCGGTCTCTCCTCCGGCAATTTTCTTTTTTCAAATTTGGAAATAAATTTTTTTTCCGTATCCAGAACACTATGTGACATTTCTACTTCCTTTGCTATAGAGTACTCGTAATCTGACATTTTTAATAATCACAATATACGGTTGTGTTTCCTGTTGTAATGAAAAATAAATACCTGTATATTTTTATTCGGATATTAAAATTGTGACATGATTCACTTGTAAAAAAAAAACAATGCATTATTTAATAGCCATTTTGATTTTCTTGACCTGAACCATTGCAAAGATGATTTCAGCATAATAAGTCTTATGTTGGTATTCGTATAAACACGATGGCTTGCATGCAAATGCGTGGTATTGTGGAACCCGTTCCGAAGGAAGCTGAGAGTCGGTTGAGTGTGATTTAGATATAAAAAGATGAGAGTTAATAAAAATTGTAATGACCGCTAGTTGTTAAGAAGAAACAGCGCAGCTGTTCATAGAAACGGACGGTAAATTGAATTACGTACACAGGACGCTGTTTTTAAATTGAATTTAACATGGCAAATAAAATACCCCCTCGATTTTACTAACCAACTATTGGTTGGATCTCTTTAATGACATTCGTACCAAAATCTGTACAAAATACAGTAAACATTTGTAAGTTAATAATCGAATGGAAGCAAAAAATATTCGTTCCTTCCAAAACGGAGGCATGTACTAAGAGAATTTTTTCAAATTTTAACCCTAAAAGGGAGAAAAAAAATCAAAGTTTGATGTATAGATCAAGGTACACACCAAACCGCTGACTTCAAAAATTTGAAATTTTTCACAAGGTTCTTAATGGAACGATATCATCCACCTTAATGCAAGTTTGCAAACTACCACCCCTAAGGGTGTAAAATAAGGGTTTTATTGAAGCAATACCGAAACTGTAATGACATCATCAATTTAGTGCAGTGGTTCCTAACCTTTTTAATATTGTTACCCCTGTGACCTATTAAAAAAACTGATTTTACCCTGACCTTAAAATGTAATCAATACTAACAACACAAGCAAATACAAATATCTTTAATAATCACAAATTGCACATCAGTCTTCTAATTTTATATACCATAACAATAAATTAAGCAAAAATAGTTAGTGTAATGGTTGGTATTATTTTGCATTTTTCAAGTTTTTTTTATGTAGTATTCTGGCATAATCCAAGATATTCCACTTTGGCCGCTGCGACTTCGTTTTTAATAATGTTATCATACGTAGTAAATCGTCTTAATATCCAAGAACTGGACTGACGATTATCCATATCCGGAGAATATTGCTTCAGTGAGTTTATTGCTGCAGATAAATGCCGAACCACAAAATTTTCAAATGTGATCTTGTTTGGTTCAAGATTTACCAATTGTGCATACAGTTGTATAAACTTCGACACAGATATAATTTTATATTTTTACTATCTAGCTACGTATTTTAGGTCTTAATTATTAGGTTCCTTGTTACCCCCACAGAATAATTGGTTTACCCCCAGGTTCGGAATCAATGAATTAGTGCGACTCACTAAACAGTTTCAACTACGTGGTAATAAATAAAAGTGATATTTAATGTTTATTATCTCTTTAAAGGCGAAAGCAAATTTTTTCCCAATATTCATCAGGTACACGTGTGATTTAAGTTTAATTGACTGTTTTGAATGCTATCTGTCAAATGATTTAGTGATATGACATCAAAAGAAATATTACCTCAAAATTACAATTCAATAGATATTATTTTATCATTGAAGTATATCAATAACAGTGTTTTTAATTGTTATTAAATTCAAAAATATTGACGATGAGTAGACGTATTATTTATTTTCAAACAAAAATTTAGAAGGTTAATTTCCAAGTGTAAACCAATTATGAAATGTTAAATTGATGTTTCTAGTTTCCGTAATACTAATTTTGTTGTTTTGATTTCAGGGCAGCTGTTTCGCCTTCGAGATCTTCAGGTAAGTGTGCATTATGTGTTGCAACCGGGGAGAGAACTTACAAGTTTATGGTAACAAAAATTTAATTGTACGTCCTATTTATAGTTGCTCTTGGGCCTTTTTGGATTATGCTAGGTTATTCTTGCCTATTTTTTTTTATTTTAAGCAATCTACAATCTATTTTAGAATAAACCTACAATCGTTTAGTGAAAGCTGTAACAGTCAATGTCTATTTTAGTTGTTGTAATTAACTGTAACTTCTAAAATGGAATATAGCTATGGGTAAACCCCGCTGGGTCATGGTCCATTCATTGAAAGTTTTGGTGCTAGTCCTCTCCGAATATCAATCCGAGAAAACATAAAATTTAAAATCGGATACATTCAACTTCACATAACTCAATACACTTTGCTTAATGCAAAATTATGCGGAGTTTTTGTCGTATTTCCTTGTGTTAAAAAATATAACAAAGTGGGTTATTTTTAGAGAGTATAATTATTCTAGTTTATAGCTTATAAACAACAAAAGAACAATTTAAAGAAATCAAAATTTTATTACAACAATAAAAAAATACAATTGTTTAGTTATTTTTATTAATGGACCACAGTTCTTGGTTTTTTTATGTTAGTGACTTAATAGCATATGTTACCCCCGCGACCGCGAATGACCTCTGAAGGCATACGTCCAGGCGCATGCTTTCGATGAGGACAGCGACTTCTCCTTGATCAATCTGGTCCCGTTCCTTAACAAGCGCCACCCTCAACGTCTGGACGAATTCAATTCCTAATACGGCGACCTAAGGAATCCCACAGATGTTCAATCGGATTAGGTCCAACACCTTTTGCTGGTCACCTAAAGCGACCTCATTCGAATATGTAGTAACAACAGCAGTCGGGCATTATCGTGCTTTAGCGCGAAATCATCCCCAATGAATGGAGTAATTAGTGTCATATGAATCGCCAAACACTGATAGACATATGTACCTATCGGCCGTCATTGTGACGTGGTCTAATTGTAACATTTACCAGTTATGTTTTGACGTAGATTAAGGTGCTAAACTACACCATGACTCTAGCGCCTCCACATGGCGTTCTTGGAAATAGCAACATTTTCGTCTTGTCTAAATGCTAAATTTGGATTCATCAGTGAACAATGTGGCACTGTACCATTCAATTGTTTTCGTGGAAATTGTAAATGTGTCGGGACAAATCTGGAGATAAAACTGGTTTTCTTGATCTCACTTGGTACTCCTGAAGTCTTCTGTGAACAGTTAATACTGAAATCTCATGTCTACGAACGATGAGCTAGAAGTACAGAAGATAAACGAGAATCACGAACAACTGATAGTCTTAGAAAATGATCTTGACAATGGATTGTTATAGAGAGATGACCTGGTCGTGCCCTCCTTGTATATCGCCTGATGGCATCATTGAAGTACGTGAAACATTCGCGATAATTCGCATACTCGGTCCTTCTTCAATTGAATTGCACAGACGATTGCTTCAATATACTATTTCTGGAATACGAAAATGTTCCAAGAAGTATACTGGAAAACGCTGTATACGTTTCACTGTTCATTTGTCTGCTTCTGGTTGAATAAAGCAGATTAACCAACTGTGACTAAAACCATTGATCTGATGAGATGAGATGATTCCAATAAAAATCTAACTGTCCCGTTTTTTTAGCACAAGTGTTATTTTGCTCCCTGTGAATATGACTGCTAAATTACTTATCCAAGGAAGTTTCACTTTCTGGCAACAGCGGAGGAAATATGTAACGTTAGTTTTCCTTCATATATATGTGTGAAAATGTGAAATGTCATCACGAAACTCGAGGCGTTTTGAGTTATGTGAGATTATATAATTGTGGATCCATATTATCATTTTTACAAAACGGAAAATACGGAACGTAAAATCTACAACTGTGTGGGCCACTTTTGACGCTTTCAAAAAGAAAATCTAGTGCAACGTCTTCGCTTCCGAATTATGAAGTTTATATTGAACGACGGATCGGGAAATTTTGTGGTGTACTGTACGATGCCGTAGTATTGAGTTTTCGAGAAAATGCTAGAGTGGTGCACAGCGTGACGGTTGTAGTCGGGAGCTTAACGCGTGCGCGTTTTCCTTTCGCAAACTTGACGCTTTACAATCGACTGTTGCTTTTCCCAGTGTGGCGTGTGTCAGTCGGTAGTGCAGTCGCGAAAAACGGTACTCACTCATAGCATACTACCATTTACTCTCTCATTCATACCAACAACAACTCGTATAACAAGTGACTTGTTCGCGCGACCACATTTTTTAAAAAAAAAAAAAAAACACCCTTCGCACAGTTTGTTCCAGCCACTTATTTAGATTTGTAAAGAGGGTGAAAAAAATCACCCCACGCAAAGGGCCATTTTCGTTGAGTGAGCATGAACAACGCGGAACTAAAGGATGCTGTCGACATGAACATGGAAGATTCAGGAAATAGTTGCGGAAGCTCGGTTTTCTCCGATGTGAGCGGAACCGACTTCTTCGACGGCGACACCGATGATGTCCAGGTGTCCGATTTAGAAGGCTTGGAAAACCTCGACGACGAGCACCAACATGACGAAGACACGATTCTTGACCAACAGGTTAGTAATTGTTGTAATTGAATTTTATTTAACCGTGATGCGAACAGAGAGAAATACGAATTTTGCTCTGCTCTGCGACACGTGGTGCAACAAGTTTTTCGCGGTGCAACGGAATCAATTGCGTAATGTTCTCTTTATGTAACTTGTAACGACGTGTGGTAGTCGATTCGGATTTTGTGGTGTGACGCACCGAATTTGGCGAAAACGAGGAGGTTGTTAATTTGCTTTATTGCAAAGCTTTAATATGGTGGAAAAGCGCGTACGTGATCCAGAGTCTATTTTTGATGGCCGCAAGCCTCAACAATTGCCTCTCCTCTCTTCCGTTTTCGTTTTGAAATCTGCCATACATCAGCTTTACATTTAATCCTGGTGTACATGTATATTGTATAACAATATCCTTTCACTTCCATTTTATTTTTACTGGACGTACGTAGTATTTCTATCTCTAATTTAGCATTTCTTGCCATTCATAAACAGCTGAAAAGTTGAAAAATGCCTCTCAATGAAAATAAATTTGCGTGCTTTCTGGGTAAATTTCCGTCAGTTCCTCATCTATAAAAAATGATAAACACGTATTAGAACAAACGTGTTCAAAGGACTTGTAACTTTCGAATCCTGATTAGGACAAATAAGCTGCATCCTATGTAGATTTTTTTTGTTTCCGTGATTTTAAATTTCATGCGAAGTATACATAAACAAGATATTCAAATGTATGTATTTACTTACATAAATACACACAGGTGACAATGATTTTCATTATAATTTGGCAAAACGATATGTATGAATTATTCATTTTATTATTTTAGACGTGACATAGGTAGGTACTCATTTTCTTCTTAATAAGGTTTTGCTCCAATCCATACCCAGTAAGCAATACCCACCTAGTTTTTCTTCCACCACAGTTGAATGTAGATACTTTAGCTGCATATGTTTTGTTCGAGTTTATTTTTTCGGAAATAATTTAGCTTATGTAAGTACCTATTTTTATTGAATAATCATACGTAGGTACTTATAAAAGGAAGTGGATTCCTACAACGAATTGCACATTATCTGAATACGCTGGGATGCAGCTACTATGAATTCTTTTAAATTCTCTTCTGTTCTTGCAAATTATTTGACTGGAAAATTAAGCTTTTCACAGATCGACCGTTTGACTTGACTTTGTCTTCCATTGTTACTACTCGACTTGATGTCAAGCGATTTCAAGCTACATATATATTACATAATGTATCGACCCGAATTGATAAGTGAACGCGAATTGCTTGTTTAATTACTTGAAACGTTTGACACTGAAAATATTCGAGGTGGCATGGAATACCTTTAAACATTTCCTAAAGAAATGCGATTTGAAGATCTCTTTCGTTATGGACGATTGGTCTCTTTTCAATAAAATAGGATACTGCGGTATTACCGCCAATAATCTATTGGAAGCTTCATTCCATCTTTTTGTAGTTTGTTAGATTGTTACAAAATTTATGTAACGAAAACGACCGACAACATTAACGTTTTATTCCTGATGTTTATTCTGAAAATAAATATTTCGTGTGTTTTGGTGGAAGAGCTTTAATGAAAATGGTTGATTCCGACCTGAACACTAGGAGAAAATGACGTTTGCTCTTTTGAAATAACTAAAATTGTATTGAAAAGATATTAGCTTTAGATGATGATGAAATGATCGAAGATTTAAATTCGCCATTGCCTATCTATCAAAAAAAAATGAAAAACTGAGTATCTAACGATTTTGTATAATTAGCAGCATTCTGAACTTGAAAATGACTACTCCAAAAGTCGATATTATCAAACATTTATGAAAAATTCGAGTAGTCTTGAGAAAAATTGAGTCGTTTTGAAGAACTACTTGATTCTCCAAATACTTGACTTGGATTCCTTTAAGGAACAAAGTGATCGATCTATTTATTATATTGGATATTGCAATATTTAATTTTTTTAGTGGTTTTATCAGTAGGAAAATAATGAGATGCAGGTGACCAAAAGGTAACTTTTTCTTCACCAATTCATGATTATGTTGTTGCTCAGACTTCTCACCATTTAATAACCGAATTATTGGCGAATGTGTTTTTCTTTTATCTAATAATATTTTGGAATTTTCTCATTTATCGTAATTGGAAGTGATATTGATTATCGATGCTCAATATTTCGATATTAAATGCATTATCAGTCGTGTACCGTCATTCTTCTTCTCTTTTATTTTCTTGTTCCTAATAAATATTTATGATTGACTGCTGATCAATTTTACTTACTGCTATGTGGAAGATGATCGAAGCAGCTTTTTGATTTATAAACACGAAGTGATGGTTATAAGAAAGAACGTGAACTTATTTGCATTGTTTTTCAAGAATAAGAAATAAGTTTACTTTTCAATCTAAAAAGCGTGGTGTCAAAATTCTCCAGATCAAGATTTTGTAGACCGTGACCAGTACTGGAAGTTGTTTCCTTGTTTTTGTGGGTTACGTGACTCTGATCACGATAGGGAATCCAAACGTATAAAATAGAAAGATAAAAACTTGCAGCTACTTATGGTCCATAGTTAACAGTTATAAATTAATATAAAAATTTTCAAATTGTTTATCTGCAGTCTGAATTAATTACAAAAATCTTTTATTTTGATGCTACAGGTAATGTTTGAGGTTTACTGATAATCTATAAAGTCATGCCGGTTTCTGATTTTCTCAAAATTTATTGATAACGTAANTTTTTCTATTGCATACAATCGTCAAAGGGTGGCATACGACGTATTTATCTTTTAATATATATTATAAAGTAGTATAAGTCCAATAAATGCATTTTAAACTTGCAGCTACTTATGGTCCATAGTTAACAGTTATAAATTAATATAAAAATTTTCAAATTGTTTATCTGCAGTCTGAATTAATTACAAAAATCTTTTATTTTGATGCTACAGGTAATGTTTGAGGTTTACTGATAATCTATAAAGTCATGCCGGTTTCTGATTTTCTCAAAATTTATTGATAACGTAAATTATTTTGTGGTTACGTTGACTAGAATGTTACAGAAATAGTTCAGTTTTTTTAGAGAAAGGTCACCGTGCCAATCTCTAACGTTCACCGTACCGAACAGGTTGAGATTGTTATTTAATATATTTACGATACCTATGTAATGTGAAATGGCCGGTGAGGTTGGTACACAACTTTTAGTTTCTTGTATAGCCATCGCTTGACCTCGTTTTATTATTCGATCATTATTATCTGTATGATGTAAAGAAGATGTCTTTTTCTTAAGAATATGTAGGTAATGTTGCAAGTATTATCTACAAATAATTATTTCTTTTTATTGATTTAGCTCAAGGTTAATAAACATGGGGTTGGATTCTGTTTAAAATCCAATTTATTCCAATTAAAAGTATACCTGTATATCTCAATATACTCTTTAGGCTTTTTTCTGTTTTATTAGCTGAGATAATTTCAGGAATGCCTCATTTGTCTGTTTTCAAATAAACTAATCAAAAATACAATGGGGGGATAAGAAAATATAAAGTAATTTAAAATGTTTACTTAATTCATGGATAGTTGTAATTATTACTATCGGAATTCAATACTTAAGAGTCAGTATCCCGATAATCCTCGGTAAATCCAACTGAACGTTTAAGCGGTGAGATGTATTACGTACTGACCTTTTAAATTGGACAAAATAAACTAGTTCGAATGTGGTTAAAGAACAAAGGCAATTTCATTCACTGTCATCCCTCTTTATAGATGCTTTTGAAAAAATCATCAGTATTATACGTTATACGAGGAGGGAAAGGCATAGAGAGAATTGGAGCAACCACTAGCTTTCCACATCCAGTCCATTATTGCTTTTCCTAGTTGTTGATCTTCGCGTTCATTTAGGTATTACAGACTTCCACCCCTGTTCGAGTCATTTTTTGATTCATCCAACATGGATATATGCGTTCTTAACCAGCTACTACATGTAGCTTCGATCTCCTGATTACATAAATGTATTTGTTTTCTTAAAATAGATACCACAGTAGCTTCGTCTAGTCTTGTGCTGCATGAATGTTCGCTGTAGGTATTCACCTTTGACGTTAAACCATAATAGACTCAATATTTACGATCTTGTTACACTCAAGTTGCCAACTGTTTCTTACCCGTTGCATGTATGTTAAGCACAGGTATGCATTTTTGTAGCAGTTATTATTATTGATAGTCGCGAACGATTTGAAATATCGCGTACATGTGTGGGTGGAATATTTTCATATTATCCTGGACAAATTATAAATGGATACATTTTAAAGTTGGTATTTTTATTATCTTCTTGCCACGCAAATACTTGACACTGAGTTGCCTAGAAGAAGTTTAAACAATATTTATATGGTAGAATATTACAGATTTAATTTTTTTCAGATATTTATATTGTACATTTGCGCCCAAAAAGTAAGAATTCTTGCTTCTTGCTAACTTCCTGATAGTAAATCCTGCTTTTGCTATAAAAATCCTTATCTTGTATTATTCTTACACACAAATTTTTTGTCTTGTTCTTACTACAGTTGAGTAGCTGTTTACCAATAATAAGTTACACTGTTCCTTAAATTGGATTCCTACAACGAATTGCACATTATCTGAATACGCTGGGATGCAGCTACTATGAATTCTTTTAAATTCTCTTCTGTTCTTGCAAATTATTTGACTGGAAAATTAAGCTTTTCACAGATCGACCGTTTGACTTGACTTTGTCTTCCATTGTTACTACTNTTATCTTGTATTATTCTTACACACAAATTTTTTGTCTTGTTCTTACTACAGTTGAGTAGCTGTTTACCAATAATAAGTTACACTGTTCCTTAAATATTTAAAATAAGCAAAAATGATAGGGTTGTTTGAAGCACTTTAGATGCATTTAAAGGTGTGGTGGTAACAGATTACATAAATTTAAATTGGTACAAATACAAATTTGAAAAAATATAAAACTTGATAAACTTTTAGCAGTGGTGAATTGTTGCAGTTTATTTAGCCATTAAG